TCAGTTGGCTGGAGCATCATCCCGTACATGAAAAGGTTATGGGTTTGATCTGCATTCAGGGCACATGCCTAGATTATGGGTTCAGTCTCTGGTCCGGGCACCTATAGGAGGCAAAATTTCTCCTATAGGAGATCAATGTTTCTCTCTCTCTCCCCACTCCCTCCCTTCCTCTCTCTCAAATCAATATCCTTTAGTAAGAATTGAGAACAAACAATTTAAAATTCTGCAAGGCAGTAGAATGTTCGCCGGGCAAGAGTAACTCTTACCTACTCTTACATTAAGGGAATGGAATCGCCTCATTTTTGCCTATTGGTTCGGAGCCAATCACAGGTGCCTCCTCCACTCAAGGGCGTGAAGACCATTGAAAACCATCTTGGAGGTTGCCAACCACCATTTCTATAAACATTGTGTCCACACGTTTACACACTTCTGACAATATCTCGCATGCTCTTCCTACTTGCCTTGTTTTTTCTTTGGTTTGTGTTTTTGTTGGTTCCATATTATTTCCCCTCCTGCCGCCCCCCGCCCCCCGCAGATTTACTGGGGTGTCATGGACATGTCACATTGTGTAATGAGTTCACATATGTATGTATTGTGAATTGATGACCATGATACGAGTAGTTAACATATCCATCTCATCACTTGTAGTCACCACTGGTGTGGGTTTGAGAACTTTTAAGATCTACTCTTAGCAATTTTTTTTACTTCATTATTATATTGACACTATTACAGATGTCCCAATTTTCCCTATCTTTACCCACCTCCTTCCAGCCTGCAGCCCCCATCCCCTCTGGCCATCACCACACTGTTGTCTATGACCATGGGCTATGATGCGTATATATCCTTTGGCTAATCTCTTCACCTTCTTTCTCCAGTCCCCCCTCTGAGACCTGTCAGCCTGTTCCATGTATCCATGCCTCTGTTTGTATTTTGTCATTTTATTCAGTTCATTACATTCCACATATAAGTGACATCATATGGGATTTGTGTTTCTCTGCTTGGCTTATTTCATTTAGCATAATTCTCTGCAGGTCCATCCATGCTGATTCAAAGGGTGAGGGTTTCTCTTAGCAAATTTCAAGTCTACAATATGTATTGTCGAGTCCACTATAGTCCTCATCACTTAGGCCATTTCTGTGTCTTGGAAATTGTAAATAATGCTGCAATGAACATGAGGGTGTAGATAGCTCTTCAAGATATAATTTAATTTCTTTCAAGTATATACCCAGAAGTGGACTTGCTGGGTCATATGGTAGTTCTATTTTTAATGTTTCAAGGAACTTCCAAACTGTGTTCCATAGTGGCTACACCAATTTGCACTCCCACCAACAGTGCACAAGGGTTCCTTTTTCTCCACATCCTCGCCAGTGCTTGTTGTTTGTGTATTTATTGAGGATAGTCCTTCTGACAGGTGTGAGGTTATGTCTTGTGGTTTTTACTTAATTTGCATTGTCTTCATGATCAGTGATGTTGAGCGACAGTGTTTTGGTTACCAGAGGGAAGTGGGTGGGGATTGTAAAGGGTGAAAGCAGTGAAATACATGGCGAAGGAAGATGATTTGACTTTGGGTGGTGAACATACAATGTGACATACAGATCATGGGTCATAGAAATGTACACTTGAAACCCATATGATCTTATTAACCAAGAGGACCGGTGCACGGGATTCATGCACTGATAGGGAGTGTGTGGCCTGTGGGGTCAGCCTGCTATGGGAGTGCCACTCATGCTGGTCAGCCGATCAGCTGTGGACCCGCCAGCTGAGGTGTGCTCCCATTATGGTAGCTTACTGATCACCAGGGGGAAGCTCCTGCATTGAGAGTCTGCCCCCTGGTGGTCAGTGTGTGTCATAGCGACTGGTCAACTGGTCATTCCACCATTCAGTCGCTGGGCTTTCATTATATAGGATGTCACTCCAATAAATTTAACTTTTAAACAATGAATTAAAGAAATAAGCCTTGTTTCAAGTTTTATAGGTTACCGGTACTTACCTGCTCATTGGGACATTTACATACAGAGAGGGCACAAGGAAATGAATGTGCCTCCCAACCCTGCTACACCCTTTAAAGAAATAAAATCAAATGCTATGATCATAGCGTTGGAGTTAGAGCTCCTCCATTCTCTAATCATGTAAACGTACATAGTTTTTATTTTTATTTTTCAATTACAGTTCAAAAATTGACACTATTACAGATGTCCTCATCTGTAATGAGGACAACAAGATTATATTGGTTTCCGGAGTACATCATAATGGTTAGACATTTATATAATTCACCAAGTGATCCCCCCAAAAGTGTGGTCCCCACCTGGCACCATCCATAGTTATTAACAATCTTATTATTTCCCTTATGCATGTACTCATATTTTAATTAAAAACTGTGACCCTCCATGTCATAGTCAATAAATTATTGACAGTATCATTTGTGGTGACCATGTAATGCTACATGCATGGGAAGTATTAATTATTGAGTTCCACAGTGTCAGTGGGTACTATTAATTTAAACTCTTCTTCCAATGGAATTCTTGCCTTGTGATCCAATGCTTAATGGAGACCACTCTGTCTACTGTCAGATGAGAGTTTTTAGTCTAGAAAACAGATTCCTTTTCCCGCAGAGTCCACATCAAGGACTCCCAAGAATGCCCGGAGAATGGCGTATGGGGAATAGGATCCTTGAGGCCACAAAGCCGAACTAGAGCGCGGAGGATTAACAGAATTCTCCCTTGGTATTTTCTCAGGCTCGACATAAAGGATATGAACGCAGAAACCATGACGTTGTTCACGACTGTAACAAACAATAACAGCCACCCGCAGGTCACACACAGACCAATCTCGGGCGAAGAAGGAAGGCAGGGAAGTCAGTTGTAATCTGGGGGATGTAAGTCTTTCTCGGTCCATCCTGCGGCTGCCTGACCTGCCTTGGCATTTAGTCTCCTCAGACTCGAGAAGAAATCAGCCACTGTTCTGAGGACCTGCCTCCATCCTGCCCTCCCTACAATGTGTTGGGCAGGAATTCTGATCGCTGCTGGGATGCAGGAAAACAGCTGGCACCTAGCACCAGCTTCAGCCCCGTCAGGGACCCTCTAGAATGTTCTGGTCCAGCCGGGCTTCCAATGACCCCGCCCCAGCCCGTGTCACATGGATCAGAAGAGGGTGGCTGAGCGCAGTCAGCCCGCAGAACAGGAGTCAAGGCTGCGACAGCGTGCTGGAGTCACTAATTGAATTAGAGGCCTGTGTTCCCTTTAATCCTGTCCTGGGAGAGTTGCCAACAGGTACCCCTCAGATTCCCTTGAGAAGAAACACTTAGGTGCCATTCCCACCTTTGTGTTTCTACATCAACTGCTTCATCCTGATTTCCTTACCCTCCAATGGAATTGCTTCCCTTATCTCACCTGTCTCTGCTCAGAAATGTACAGGTGTCCCATGGGGCAGAGTGACTCGCCCTAAATTCCAAGATATGTGAGATCCGTGTAACCTCATTACATCCTCTCCTTTTATTATTTCTTTCAACGGGGAAGTGGGACAGCTGGCATCTTGAATAACTTTCCCGGCTGTGACAGCCCCTGTCTGGCACCGCATTGGGAAGCATTGGGGGACACGGTAGGAGTGCCCAACCAGTGGAAGGGAGCCATCATGTAAGTTGGGTGGTTTGAGGTACATAAGGACTGAAAATCTCTTTCTGGAGAACAAGTACATTCTCACCAACAGGGGTAGGGATTGTCGTTTTTCCACTCTTTTTACAACAAGTGACTCTCCATTTGGTCCATCTGTCCTTCTGAGCCTTTCACTCCCTCCCTCATCGCATGTGTGATCTCCTCTCATCCCGTCTGTGACACTCAGCCTCTGACTCCCTGACACCCCATCCTGCTCTCAGTCTCTAGGTGCAGGGAGTGCGGACAAAGCATTTTCCACCAGGTTTGAAACAACTCACTTTCCCACTAGGAATATAGAGAGAGAACGAATCAACATTCCTGCTAACAATTGATTTTGTCAGATTCTTGTCATTTTCACCATGCTTGGAGGTGTGCAGCAATATCACATTAGGGCTGAATTTGAATTTCTCCTCTGACAACCTGTTGGGCAATTTCCACATGTGTATGAACCACATAACCATTGTCAATAGGAGGATGGAATTGGACTCTTGTTCATCAGTTACTGAGACTCTAGTAAGGTGCCAGCATCCTTAACTATTGGGACACATTTGCTATTAATGGATCTGCGGTCAGAGACCTGTGGGATGAGAGAAAGTGCCTAGTCTTTGCCCCTGACTCCTGGCAGTGAGCTCCTAAAAGCCTGGGCATCTCCTGAGTGACAAGTGTCTTTGGGTGGCTGATGAGATGGCTCTTGGCTGAGGGTCCTGGAGGCTTCAGGATGGAGGCTGAGGGTTGGAATGTTCAGGCCCTAGAAGGAGGCAAGAGCAGGAGGAGCCTGAAAACACATCTCCACACCACAGAGTCCTGTGTGCAGGGACCCCCGGGCCTGCGGGACAATGACGGCAAAAATGAGCCCTGATACTGTCGGACAGGGGACACCCAGACAATGAAACCAAAACTCCTACACAAACACAGTAACAGACATCATATCCACAAAAGCAAAGAAACAACAAACACCCAGAAAATAGGTTCTGAGGGCCAGACCCAGACCTGAGCCTCGGATGACGAGGGTCCTGGAGATGTGATTCATTCGAACAAGTGACAAGGCCTGTGTGTCCCTGTGAGCACAGGTCATGGTGGGACAGGTAACACTGAGGGACAAGGTCAGAGGAGCAGAGAGGTGACCCGGTTGAGGAGTGACAAGGTCAAAGCCCACGATGCACTGAGCACCACCTGGGCACAGGCCCTGACCACACTGTCCTCACAGCCTCTCCCGTCCCCCCTGCAAAGAGCACAAAATACACAGGAATCTACAGAATCCTTGGTGCTTCCATTTATTTCCTCTGAGAAAATTATGAAAGGATCTCCTTTAATTACATCACCACTCACAGCAAGAATTAAAACAACAGGTCAATCCACAGTCTCATTGCAATACAGAGCAGGAAGGTGCAACTCAGAGCACCAGGGAGTAAAGGCAGGGATGGGGAGGGCCCAGCCCGCCTCTGCTGACAGCAAAGTGTGGGGAGCAGGGCTGGGCCAGACCCTCAATCAGAGGTTCTTGAGTCAGGAAGTGGGAGCGTGAACATCTTCCATCACTCAGTCCCCACAAGGCAGCTGCCTCACGCTGTGGAGGACAAGCATCATGAACACATTCAGGTCAGTGGCTCTAACTGGTGACATTCTCAAAGCCCACTTCATGCTCACAGTGTCCCACAGACTCCCCACCACCCAGTCCTCCCCTCTGCCCACCCCTCCCCACGGCAGGTCTCACCTTTGGAAGCTGAGAGAGACACATCAGAGCCCTGGGCGCTGTCACTGCCTGGGGGGGGGGGGGGG